AAATTATATTTTTTAGCCTATATTAGCATATTAGCACATACTGAGACAAATCTATAGCCAAAATGTTAAAACATAAATAAAATGGACACAAAATGTTGCAGCTCCCGTGGTGGTTTGATTTTTAAATGGGACCAAATGGATTTTCTTAAAATGTGTTACCGAGCCCTGGTACAGGTAAAGGTTGAATATAACATTTACCAGCTTGTATAGGATGTGAAAACAGCACAGTCATGCACGTGTCATAAGCAGGTAATAGGATCAGTGAGTTTGTGTTGTAATTAAAAAGACAAATACACTGACAATCAGATCAGATGAGATCATTCACAGCATAATCTCTTTCCTTTCTAAATCATAACCACAACAGAAATATTGCTCTGAGAAAGTAACAGTGCAGGTTATCTTCCATGTACATAGTATATGCACTTACATTTAGTGATCTCAAATGCCCTCTGGTGGCCAAACAAAGAATTCTAGACCAATTTTAAACCTACCTTTTTAAAGTAAAGTCTAAGAAAATGTTATTTTAAAACAATTAAATGTGTATCTAATATCAAACAAGTTATATGAGAAGCTTCAATCAGGTTTTTGTTCTAACCATACAGAAACAGCATTGGTCTGTTTGTTGTGAATGGCTCAGTGCTGATGCACAAAATCCTTCTATTCCAGTCTTATTGGATCTTAGTGCAGCTTTTGATACCGTTAATCACAAGATTCTAATCCACCATTTTGAATACTGGGTAGCCCTCTCAGGCACAGTTTTAGAGTGATTTAAATCATATTTAGTTAATAGTCAGTTCATGGTTTTACAGGGAAATCATTCTTTACTCCACAACGTTCAGTTTTAGCGTCTTTACTTTTCTCTTCATACATGTTACCTCTAGGTGATGTCATTAGGAAACAAAATATAAATTTTCATAGCTATGCTGATGACATGTAATTATACACTTCCATTCCTTCTGATGATCAATACTCTGTAGACAGGCTGATCAGCTGCATGTGGCAAATTTTCTATTGTGGATTTTTTTTTTCAAGAGGCAAAAATGAGTCACTGTAGCGTTGAGTCTCCCATCAGTCCAGTAAGTTTATCTGAAAATTGTCTCATTCCATTGGCAGATCATTTTGCTTATTTCAAGCAGAAGTATCTGCATTATTTCTTGAAATAAGTGAAATGATCTGCCAATGGAACAAGACAACTGCAATTACTTATTATATATTATTAACTAAAAATGTCTGGAAATAGGGTGAATAATCTTGTGTTGAGAGTTGCAGGATGTAATTTAACAAAGCACCAGAAGAGGGAGGCAGTGCCTATTATAAGACATCATTCAGTTCACTGGTCCTACTGGACCCCTTTTGGAGTTGTAGGAATCACACTGAGCTCTTTCTTACAGGACTGATGCAGGTCAGACAGACTGTCTTCACTGTGCAGGTATATATTTGTTCATTTTTTAACTTTTCATAACTGAATGTTTTAAAATAGAATAATAAAATAAAAAGCCTGGACACAAAACAAGTTCAATGCAATTTAAAATGAATATTAAATATGGATTCTGGTACAATTATGTTCCCCAACTAAAGGTACTGAGGACATCACAATCACAAATGTCTCAACAGCACTAACTAAATACACACCCACATGAAATAACCCTGACTTCCCACTTTCAAAACAGAACAAAAAACTGCTTCATAGATTTACATAAACGAGTATCTGCCTTAATGCCAAGCTATTAGCATTTCTAACATGACAGTGCTGTGTTTGATAAAGCATTGCTGTTGTATGAACTCTAGTGCTGGTGTTTCAATGGAATTAATGTATTCTGAGATGTTTCTCCAGTTTTTAAGTACACTCTAAAAAGTAATTCAGATGGTCTTTAGCCAATACTTAAATATATGCAGTGTTGTAAGATAAAAAATCAAGTTATAAGACATTGCCAGAGCTTTTATTTGCAGTTGTTATTTTATTGAGTTCTGGTGGCGCACAAATTATAAGTGTTCAAATTATATGTTTCAACATACTAACATGACTCACCTGAACTTAATAAAATTGATTAAATAATAAAGAAAAAAAATCTGTTTCTAGCAACTTAATTATTTACATTGTACAACTTAATTTTCTCAATTGTTTGAATTCGCCCTGCCCACATGGATAAGCTGGAATTCCCCTGCACATGCCTGGTCCAAAGTTGTCATGGCACAAATGGCACAAAAAAGGAGAAAGCTTTTCATAAGCATGGTGAGGGTTCTACCCATTACAAATATTTATAATCCATATAGCTTGGTGTTTGCTTTTGTGACATGAAGAACTCTGCCCGCTTTGTGGCTATGTTGAAGGTCGGTAGGCAGGCACTAATTAGCCAGCTAGCTAGCCAGCCAGCTTTTCTTAGGTCTGTCATAGACCATATTATAACCATTACAAACCTTTTTTATGAGCTATATAGCTAAGTATTTGACATGAATAACTCTGCCTGCTTTGCGGCTGTGTTGAATGTTAGTAGGCATGAACCACTAAAAGGGGGAGAGAGGAATAGTGAGTGAGTGCTGGGCAGATTAGCTAGCTAGCTAGCCAGCCACCTAGTGTTAGCTTTTCTGGCATGGATCGACATACCAATAGGTGTTATATCTGGAGTAAAAAGGGATAATTTCATGGCTGAAAATAGTTGTATTTGCATTGGCATTGAATTTCCCTGGTGAGCTAATAAAACCTTGTTTTCTGTCTTGTCTACCCTGCAATGTTTGTGTAGCAAAAGCCGTGATAAAGATTGCCATCACTGTGGTGGAGGGAACCAAAATCCTGGAGGGTTTGATATCACCAAATCCTGTGCTTTGCTGATGAGGGATAATACATGCACTTCAGTTGTTTCACTCTCAACAGAATCAAACAGAGACTCATATCTGTCTTGTAATTAAATACTTTAGGCCAAATTCTAAAGTAACTTTACTTTAGTGTCTTTCTTTTTTTATTATTTCAGTACAATGTGATGTGAAATCACTGTACAGAATAAAAGTAGTCGTATTGTCTAATATTTGCTCGTTTTTACTTCATTCAGAAAGACTGACATTACGGGGAAAGAAGCATGAGTTGGCTGAGAAAAGATTCAGTCCAATGCAAGGAGCTAGTCAACAAACATTTAAATTAATCGTTAGAGATATTAGGCTACAATTGTATTTTTAAATGATTATAATTTTAATTATATAATATAATTTTTTGTATTCATTCAACTTAATATCTGTTCATGTTCATGTTCATGTTACTTAAAAATGCTTTTTACTATGACTGAAAAGCTAATCCACCAAACTTAAAATATTGTGTTGGATCAGTGTAATTCTTACAGTTTTTGGTCCCACTTTATATTAAGTGTCTTTAATAACTGTGTAGTTACACATAAATAACATATGCAACAACACTGTAACTACTGATAATTTAGGCAACGTTACAAAAGGATTACAGAAGTACAGCCTATGTACATATGTATCAACTTCAGTTTTGCCTCATGTAATTACAAAAATATATATTTTTGATACACAACAGTTCAGAAGTCTTTTCCAGCAGTTAAAGGAAGTATTTTTTACATTACATTACATTTCTTTTACATAATCACTGTGGAATAACTGTGTTGTAGCAAGGCAGCTTTCTGTAATTACACTGTACATTTATAACATCTACACAGGAACTTTCCTGTAGTGCAGTGTTAAAGTTACACTATATAATAAGTGGACAGTTCCTGTGTAGTTATTATGTAGGTACAGTGTAATAAAGGAGTGGTAATATAGACATTGCTTTGGGGAAATAACATACATTTAATTAATGTCCCAAATGTTACATGTTAAGATAAGGGGACGTCTGCTGTTCTGTCACATTACAGAATGGTTTAAAGCTGAAACTGGTTACAGTGACACAGCACTAGCAACATAAATGCTAGCTAAATGTTAGGAAAGCTGGCAGATACAGTATAAGTAATGCCTTAATGTAAGTTATTACATTCTTCTTTTTACGGCTGACTTCCGAAAAAACTGTCTGATTACAAATGCAATTACATTTATGTTATAACCCTTGTGTAATTACATGAGGGAGAATAGGCTGTTACGACTTGTGTAATTACACGAGGCAAAACTGAAGTGATACACTTGTGTAATAACATAAGGTGTCCTTCTGTAATCCATCTGTAATAGTGACTAAATCATTAGTAGTTACATTGTTGTTGCATATGTTGTTCATATATAACTACACAGTTATTAGAGACACAATATAAAATGGTACCCAGTTTATCTTTTGTGAATTTTCTCATGTGTGTGAATAGTCATTCACCATTTTAACTGAACTACCTAGAGTCATCATATATTCCCATCTCTTTCACCATTCAGTCACAACCTACCCAGTGACTTCGTGTCTCCTAATGGAGTTTGGCTACAAGCTGACTGTGGATTAACTGGATTCTTTTAGTCTCAAATGCCTTGTTATGTCTGTGATGTCAGTGCAGCTCACAACAACTGCCAGCTGGTTCTCTGTAGGAGGGGCTCATACAGAGGAACAGGAGAAGAAATGAGAGCTTCAACAGCAGGAAGATGAAGACTGTAATGTAACAAAGCACCACAAGAGGGAGGCAGAGGCTACTATAAGAGTGTCATTCACTTCACTCTTCCACAATCTGGACACCTTCTGGAGTTGTAGGAGTCACACTGAGCTCTTTCTTACAGGACTGATGCAGGTCAGATAGGCTGACTTCACTGTGCAGGTAAATTTTTATTCATTATGGTACATCTAGGGTAAATGTACCCTCAAAGTACAACAATGATCTTAAGGTCCAACGGAAATAAGTTTTCTCAGGGGAAAGGCTTTGAATTGGACAAGAGTCCAAGGCAAGCTGTATAGAATCTGTGCAATTTAAAGAAAATGTATTAAAATTGATTTTGTTATAGTTAAGCTCCCAAAAGAACTGAACTGAAGCTGTACCCTTGAGGATACCACCCCAGTTTCTACCTGAGAGTTTCTTTGGGGAGGTTTCTTAGGCATAGTGTCCAATACGTTAAGTGGAATGGAGGAAAATCTATAAAAAGAGAAATTCTTTTAAGTATTTGGCATTCGCTCCTGCAGATATGAGTATTATGCGAGTATTAGTATTTTGTGCTGGTTTAGGCTCCTACACCCACCTCTGAACCTGATCATGAATAGTGTCTGTGTTTGTTTTGATGCTGCTTCCGCAGGTGGAAAACAGAAAATAGAGACACTTATCATCTATGCGTATACCCGTTTAAATTTATCCGATCAGGTCACTGATGCTTGGCCAAAGATTTGCTCTACAATGCATAATCAAACACAAGTCATTGTTTTACTGCTTGTCCTTTGTCATTTACAGTGGCTTGCAGTGCAGGAACAATGAGCGTTTGTAAAGAGTAACATGTTAAAGCAGCAGATTGTGCAGACAGTAATAATTATCACAGGAAAAAAATGCACTCTGATGTTGAATTACCTCATGAATTAATGTGGTTCAGTTGCCTGAATTCAGGTAGAGTTGCATTTCAAAACCAAACTACATAAAAGTTTGACAGGCCCCATCAACCAAGGCAGCTCCAACAGCGCCTCCCAGCTGAAATTGAGATTCTGATTGGCTCTGCTGCTCAGTTTTACTGTGCCTGTTTGTGCTGGTCAGCACGTAATGCAGTTTAGGGAAAGAGGTTTTTATGTTTGCGTTCTGAACTCAAAAAGTGGTGGGGTATCACAATATTTTGAAAAGTGGTGGGTCAAATGCCCACTTGTATAACAGGAAAAAAATAAAATAAAATAAAAAAAAACAAAGAAATTTCAGGAAAATCCATTAAACACAACATGCAGAAGCAAATGAACTGTTATAACTATGTAAAAGTTTAAGTTTGAAAATAAAAATAATAATAATTCTTACTCAACCATCTTTCCTCCAGTAAATCACATAAACAAAAAAACTTATACATAATGCAAAAAATGTCTACTCATAGAAAGCATAAAAAGATTTAAAAGAGGATAAAATGTTACAGTCATTAAGTGGTGCTCTCTTGTTAGCTCTTTGTTCTAAAAAGCTGTGCAGACTTTGATGACAGTTCAGCATATACATTTATGTGTAGATGTCTGCTATTTCCTGCTTTCCTATGTCCTGTCTGTGCCCTGCAGTGGATCCGTTTCAGACTCTTCCCCAGCCTGTGAAGAGAACAGTGTGATGATGAAGATATCTGTATGTTCTCTACTGCAATGCTGTACTACACTGATGTAGATGTTACCTGTGTTTAATGTACAAGGCAAGTGTTTGCCGCCTCATTAGTCAGAATGGAGAGTAGCCGTATCAACGCTTTGATCAGCGTCTGATCTGCTCAGCAGAGTAGTTATCACAGCGAGCTTTATTGCTTATTGATTACAGTGTGATCAGACTCTCATAGCTGATTGGTTACTGTTGTATATTTGTAGTTTATCTATGAACAGAGTTTGATGATGGATTCATTTACTTGTGTAGGTGTCTGCTGTCTCCCGCTTACCTGTGTCTCATCAGTACCCTGCTCTACCGCGGTCTGTGAAGAGAACAGTTTGATCATTAGGAATATCTAGTTGTTCACCATTGCAGAGCTGTGCTACACTGATGTAGATGTTACCTGTGTTTTATGTGCAAAACAAGTGTTTGCCGCTTCATTAGTCAAAATGAAGAAGACCAGCGTTAAGGTTTTGATCAGCGTTCTCTCTGGTCTGCTCAGCAGAGGAGTTTATCACAGTCAGCTTTACTGATTATTGAGTACAGTGTGATCAGACTCTCACAGCTGATTTGTTACTGTAGTTTATTTGTGAACAGAGTGTGTTGATGGATTAATTTACGTGTGTAGGTGTCTGCTGTCTAGTGCTTTCCTCCGTCCCAGCAGATCTCTGCCTTTCATCCATTTCAATATCGCCCCTCCTCTATGAAAAGAACAGTTTGATCATGAGGATGTGTAGTTGTTCTCCACTGCAGTGCTGCACTATATTGATGTAGATGTTAACTGTGCTTATCTAATGTATGAACCAGTGTTTACTGCCTCACTAAACAAAATGACGAAGACCAGCATTATGATTTTGAAAAGCATTCAGAGTAGTTTATCACAATGAGCTTTACAGTGTGATCAGACTCTCACAGCTGATTTGTTACTGTAGTTTATCTGTAGTTTATCTATGAAGGGAGTTTGATGACGGCTAAACATGTGTAGGTGTCTGCTGTCTCCTGCATACCTGTGTCCCAGCATTTCCCTGCTCTGCCACTATCTGTGAAGACAGTAGTTTGATCATAAGGATATCTATTTATTCACCACTGCAGATTAAAACACGCCTTGGATGGAGAACTGACCTGTGGATTGGGTGTTCCACAATGTCCAGAGCATTCAAGACTCAGTATTAGAGCTGAGCACAAGAAGAGGAGAACAAAACCAAACCCCTGGAACAAGATAACACAGATCTGCAGTGAGGAATTCTGAATACCATCACAGTGCTTGCATTTTCAGCTAACATACACTCTAGACAATCTATTTTTTTGGAAAGGTTTCTGAGTTCACACATGTTTACAAGATCTACATGAACAAAAGTTCACAAACTTTTGCAGGCGTTAAGTAAATATTTTATCTAAATTTGGCCAAATTGATAAAGATATCAGAATCATTAGAGTATGCCACCTAGAACATAATTATCATTTCTTTCTATGCATATTATTCAGATTTGTTTCTGTTAACGGTTATAATTTTAACTACTAATTTTATTGTATTTTCTGTCAATTCTGTAAAAAAAATGTTTTTAGTTGTACAATTTGAATGAAAATAAGAAAGCTCAGAGCTTGAGATATGCACATTATTGTGCTAAATATTAAGGTGTCACATGGTAATAAGCAATGTAAAATAGCAATACTAACCAACCAGGGCCAGCGCTAAAGACGAGCCGGAGTTGGTGCTGTTAAATGAGACAAATTGTATCCCGTGCTCACAAGAACTTGGTTGTTACCACATGAAGTCATTTTTATTAACCTTTACAGTGTAGCTGCTTCACACAATCTTCCCCTTTTCACTGAACAACACAAATGAATGAAGTGTTACAGTCTTACTACAGTCAATGTTTTACAGTTTTTTTTCATTTGGGCACAAAAAATGAACAAAGCATCACTCTCTGACAGCTTGGTTATATTTGTTACTGTGTCATTTCTACACCATTCAAGGAATGAACATGAGGTAACCTTCCAATTGAAGTAATCTAGAACTGAGGCTGTAACAAACAATAAAAATCTGTAGATTAAAGTTTTGAGAACAGTTCCACATTACGCAGCTAAAACATTTCACATCATGATCAAATAGTTATTATAAACAATAAGTAATCATAAACAGCTTACCCTAGACCAGATATATGCTCTCTCTGCATACCACTGGTCAGCAGTCAGCGTTCGTTCTTCGTTACACCATTCCCATGGAGGCAGTTGTTTGCTGTCAGCATAGTCTCCCGTAAATACAGTAAAAGCACATGCCAAATATCTGCCATCTATGAGCAACAAGATTATCCAAAAGATACTTGGAATGCAACAAATCATGATAAATGACCATTTAGCAGCTCCCTGATTTTGAGCTCCCTCAGCAGGTCCCTGATTTTGAGGTCCCCCAGCAGCTCCTGGATTTTGAGCTCCCCCAGCAGCTCCCGGATTTTGAGCTCCCCCAGCAGCTCCCGGATTTTGAGCTCCCCCAGCAGCTCCTTGATTTTGAGTTCCCCCAGCAGCTCCCTGATTTTGAGCTCCCCCAGCAGCTCCTTGATTTTGAGTTCCCCCAGCAGCTCCCTGCTCATTATCAGAATTTTTAGCTTTCTGCCTTTCCAGCTCATGCATAATGCAAAATGTTACAGTAAAAATGACAAAGGCAGGTATCAACAGGTACATGAAGAAGAAGAATAGTTTCAAATTCTTTTCACAAATACACTGAAAGTCTCTCTCAACAAAGTTCTCAGCCACAACAAGGCCAGCTAAGATTAAGATCAAAACTCCATTTTCTTTGGTCAAATTTAGCTTAGCTGCCTTTAGAATCTGCTGCAGTGACATTTCTAATCCACACTGTGCAGAGCACAATAGCAGACAACAGAGAATCTGAACCTACACCTTGAGAGTAGAAACCAGCTCTGGCGTTAGCACTAAGTTACACACCACCAAAATAGTCCACCTTCTGTGAGGTAATCAGGAAGTGGCCCCACCACCAGTCTTCATAGTAAGAACAGGAGAGTGCATGTTTAGGTGAAGCAGATGTTTTCTACTGCATAAGCTAGTTAAATGCAGAGGTGTAAGTAACAAATTACATTTACTCTTGTTACTGTACTTGAGTACAGTTTTCCCTGTAATAGTACTTTTTGAAGTAGAATTGTATCATAGTATTTTTAGTTGAGTTAATTTTTAATCAAATACTTTTACTTTCATTTTAATAACATTACAGAGTAAAAATAAATGATGAGCGTATCAGCTCAGAAACCAATATGAATGACGGGGAGTTAAATTTAAAAGACTCACCAATCAAAAAACAGCAGCTCCGACAGGAAAAACACTACAGAGAACTTAACCAGCACACACGAGGAACAGACCATGTCCAAACAGACATCTGTATTCATTTACGGTTTTCTTCCTTTCTAATGCTTCTGTTTATTAAACTCAAAATCTGCTGCATATATTTTGTTGCCTGTCAGACACTTTAGTTAACAGGCCTGCAGCCTGCAGTTTACTCATTTAAAATACAGCCTAGTTTAGCTGCTGTTTTAGACATAAACGGTCATGTGCAGCTGTGATACAACAAATCTAGTCTAATACAGGTTCTTCTCCCTGGACAGTGATTCTGCCCCGCTGTCGTTGTTTAAGCTAACTGTACAGTTATCACGTCTGGACTTACACTGACTTAAAAATGCAGAGGCTAAAAAATACTCTTCAATCTCACCTTACACACAATGCTGCATCATCCGAGACTCTGCTCAATCATTTCTTCACAGAACTCTACCCAACTCTTCTTCCTCTCTTTCTTTCTCTCCACCTCCCTGCCCTCTCTCTCTCTTCCTCTCTCTATCTTTCTCTCCCCCTCTCTTCTTCTCTCTCTCCCCCTCTCTCTCTCACTTCATCTCTCTCTCTCTCTCTCTGTCTTTCTCTCCCCCTCTCACTTCCTCTCTCTCTTCCTCCTCTCTCTCTCTCTCTCTCTCTCTCTCTCTCTCTCTCTCTCTCTCTCTCTCTCTGTCTCTTGCCCCACCCACTTCTCTCTGTTTTTTTCTCTTAAATGAACTTAAACAGCACGGTCTTTCAAGGACTCTAAAATACTTTATTGGAAACAGATAAACTATGACGTCTTACATAATGCAGTGTAATGTAAACCTTGTTCCTTACTCGGTTCACAGAAAGGTTTGTAGATGTGCTCTAGCAGAGCAGACTGATCAGTCTCACCTCTCAAAACTTTAGCTTTAGTGTTTTTCTGTACAGATTATTTCCAGTGATGTAGCCGAGTAGCTCAGAAATATGTTCAGGTTGTGACAGCACAAATACGAAAAAGTAACTTGGTACTTAAGTAGTTTTTTAACGAACTACTCATTTACTCTTACTTGAGTAATTTTATTCACTGATACTTTTACTTGTACTTGAGTAAATTATCACTACAGTAACACTACTTGTACTTAAGTAGGGATTTTCAGTACTCTTTACACCCCTGGTTAAGTGATAAACCGCCATACAACAGAAGTGATCATGTATGATATTAGTGGTACTGCTGCCTCTGACAAAGTGCACATTTCTGCTGATAACACTATTCTATACTGTTCTGCATGAAAAATTATAGTGCTCTTTGAATACAGTGCATACTGCTCTGTCCTGTTTGACATGCAAAGAAGAACTAAATTCAACTTCCAGTGTTGATTTGAATTCTCAGAATATCAATACTCTGAGGGAATCCAATATTGAAAGAGTCACTCAATATGACTATCATAGCTGCATGATAAATTTACCTTTAAATATCATATTAGTAAGAAAATTAATTAATAAATCAAAGCAAACACTCAGTTTCACTCTGGCACTGGCTTCCGTATATCTACAAAGCTTATATAGCATCTTATATCACTTACAATAGCAGATTACAATTTAGTTTGATCCACAGTATATAGACAAAGGTATTGGGACACCCCTCCAAATTACTGAGTTTAGGTGTTTCAGCCACACCCATTTCTAACAGTTGCATAAAATTAAGCCTATAGCCTTGCAGTCTCCATAGACAAACACTGGCAGTAGAATGAATCGTACTGAAGAGCTCAGTGACTTTAAACATGACACTGTCATAGGATGCCACCACTGCCACAAGTCAGTGTGTGAAATTTCTGTCCTGCTAGATCTGCCCCAGACAACTGTAAGTGCTATTATTGTGAAATGGAAGCATCTAGGAGCAACAACAGCTCAGCCACAAAGCAGTAGACCACTCAAACTCACAGAGTGGGGCCGCTGAGTGCTGAAGCGCACAGTGCCTATATTCTGTTAAATCACTCACTAAAGAGCTCCAACTTGCCTCTGGAAGTAAGATCAGCACATGAACTGTGCATTAGGAGCTTCACAAAAAAAGGGGAGTTAGGAAAATCTTCACTCTGAGGGTCACCATGATCTAGACATCACAGTTCCTCCTCAGAGCATCTCCCAACCAGAGTCACACATTCTATTCCTGAACTAGCCATCACCATCAGGTGGTGATACCACCTTGGTATTGCTCACATGTATCCATTTTGGTTTTCCTTGACATTTTAGAGCAAAGGGTGTATTAAGGAGGTCCTGATATGGAACTTTTCATTTTGGCTCTAATTGCTGAGTGTTATGCACCTTATCCTTTTGTCCTCAGACAATAGGATGACCCCCCCTTTGTAAGTTCTTATGCATCCAACACCTGTTTCTGAGCAACAGCTTCAGATAAAGGCTGGAAGTATTGTAGCATGTATGTCTGCAGCTTTCATAACAAGCCGTAATCGTGGCATTTGCCATGATAAGACATTAGCTTTTAAAATTTTTAGCAAGAGCACAGGTGATCCGGTAGTCTACCTGTAGCTATTTCTATATACTGATTTGCGACAGCCCACCTTGTGTGTTGTCTGTTACCCCACTTTGTGCTGTCACTGAAATAATCTTGTCCTTTACGAGCAAAGAGGAAACTCCGTGTGGACATTTCAGTGAAAATTTGATCCATAGAAACAGGAGCAACAGCTAAAACCTGCAGATAGGTTGCCTGGATTGCTCTCAGGCAAGGTGACACTCCAAGCATAGCCGTGTCTATTTTAGCAGAGTAATAAAACATAGGCCTCTCTTTGTCACCATGAGTTTGAGTTAAACAGCTAGACACAAACCCTAGTGATGCTGAAACATATAGTGTCAACGGTAGCTCCATGTTCGCTAGACCTTAGCTGCATAATGTTGGGCCTGTAAAACCAGCTGTCCTAAATACTGAACAAAGGATTGATTAATCTTGGCCTTTTTTTTTTTAATGCTTTGTGTCCTAACGAATGTAGGTAATCTAACAAATCTAGCAAGTCACGTTCATGTTCCTCTGCATTTTAGAAAGCTATCAAAATTTTGTCTATATATAGGTGAGTGACTTTGGTTAGGAAACAACACACTTTGTCTAACCAAAGCCTCCACAATGTGTTGAATACCTGACAATGCTGTATTATTAATTTCATACTGCTTGGTATTCAGACAAAGAAAACCCAGTGAGGTTGACATGTTCAACCTTTAGTAAGCCACAATCTGCAGGAGATTTAACCCATTTAGGCATAAAAAATAAAACTATAAGACCTTGCCCCATGAGCTGATTGATGACACCTAATGCCACCATGACAACACAGGACAACCATAAAAACTTGCACAGACCCCAGTACAGGGCAGAGGTCAGCGCTACTTTCAGACCCTAAACACAGCTTCAGTTGTATCTGAAACTCAACCCTGAGCTTTCCTGCGAGTTAGTCTCAGTCACTGTATCAGACAAGGT